AATCCTTGGAGGCTATCGTTAGGACTATCGAGCTAGTGCAGGATTGTGAACATTATGTATTATAGTTTGTAATTTGATTTCTTTATCCGTTTGCTCAACGATGCGTTGTGTACCGTTGCCTCGCTTTTTCCCATTTCCATTCTGATTGTTGTCTAGCTGTACATAGCTTTCTCCCTTTGCTCTGTTCACAGTTTTTTTGTATAGAGGTCTTGTGGCCTGAACGTGGAGCTGTATGATTCCAACATGCCTGGACTCCAGCAGCGCTGTGTGGCTGTTGCGGGGCCGGCTCAATCCTGCTCTGCTATTCTTCGTTTTTATTCCGCGCCATTTGCCTCTCATACTAGGTATGTATAGATCTTGCCCTGCTGTTTTACCTTCTGCTATTCTTTCTTGAATGACCTTGAAAGGACAAACTACCATGCAAACATTCTGTAGCCACTGGAGCACGTCTGCTTGTGAAGGACACTTCCTGTGGCTCTGCATGAAAACGGTGTACTCTACAAAGCTGATTCTGGTTGGCTTTGCATTCGAGCTAATGAAGTATGTGTGGCGTTATCACGGATCGTTCTTGCCTTCTCAGGTAAGAAGTAGACTTGATAGGACTGGAAGGCGTGCATATTTTTAATGAGTCGTGGAAAAAAGGGGTCAGCGCATCACCATGATTACCACGGGTTCACTCTCTGCGATCCCTGCAATTCCTCCTTTTGTCACGTTAGCTTGTACTTCTCCTTATCTAGCCCGACTAGCGACTTTAGGCTGCAAGGTTGTAGTCTCTTCAGTCTTGTGCTGACTCGGTCCTAAAATGTACTCTTCTTGCCAACTGATAGGCATTGCAGCCTTACAGGTGCATGACATACTTGATGTACATCTACTACACTGCTTTAGGCCGTAGAAAGAGGATTCAGGAATCGTCTTGGCTGCGGTCTTCGGTCTTGTCACGTTCTGGGAAGCCCAAACTGATGGTAAACTAAAGCCATTTTTCCTATGCTCAAAAAAAGCCTAGGCCGCGTTCGAATTGTCTTCATCAACTGTTCAAACAAATTTTTAAAAGAGATTAGTTGAAGTGTCCCATTAGAACCGTTTCTATCTGTTCAGTTTTCCAGTGGAATTGTCATGGCGATGATGACGTCCGATCAGATCGACCATCTCCACGGACTACGTGATGTAGCTATTCCAAACTCTTCGGAACTAATCCACCTCTCCCATCGGATGAGGTTGTGGAGTTTCGTTTTTCTGAAGAGGCCAATAAGGCCACCTCTACAGAAAAACGAATCTCCTCGAAAAGTGAAAGAGTGACAATTCGAACGCGCCCCTAGTGTAGGCCATGTGTAGGCCATCCCCATGCATGCTGTGCAGGCGGGTAGATCTGAAGTGTGGCTAGTGTAGGCCATGCCCTTTTTAGTTTTAGGGCGCGTTCGAATTGTCACTCTTTGACTTTTCGAGGAGCTTCGTTTATTGGCCTCTCTTCAGAAAAACGAAGCTCCTCGAAACTCCACAACCTTGGGCGCGTTTGAATTGTCACTCTTTGACTTTTCAAGGAGTTTCGTTTTTCTGAAGAGGTGGCCTTATTGGCCTCTTCAGAAAAACGAAGCTCCTCGAAACTCATCCGATGGGAAGGTGGATTAGTTTCGAAGAGTTTGGAATAGCTACGTCACGTAGTACGTGGAGATGGTCAATCTGATCGGACGTCATCATCGCCATGACAATTCCACTGAAAAACTCTAAAAATAATATAAACCGTTCTAATCGGACACTTCAACTAATCTCTTTTATAAAATTTGTTTGAACAGTTGATGAAGACAATTCAAACGCGCCCTTAGTTTCGAAGAGATTGGAATAGCTACGTCACGTAGTGCGTGGCCGTGGAGATGGTCGATCTGATCGGACGTCATCATCGCCATAACAATTCCACTGAAAAACTCTAAAAATGATAGAAACCGTTCTAATGGGACACTTCAACTACTGTAAAAGCCATATGTATTATAATAACGACGTGCTAACTCTAACGAGGAAAAATCTGTCGTTAAAATAGAAATCGTTATACAGAAATCGATACATATACTGTCCTATTGAGCGTTGAGAATGAGTGAGAATCGTTACCTTTGGTACACGTAAACTACCGGTAGTCAATTTTGGGAAATCGTTATAATTATTTTTATATTATTATATGCGCCTCGTTAGAATAATGGCTTTTAAGTAAGTTCTACAGTAATCTCTTTATAAACTTTGTTTGAACAGTTGATGCAGTCTTGAAGACGAACGTCGAACGCGCCCTGAGACTGCACTGCCACAGACATGATGATTGTGTCCCTGTCTGGCTAGCTCGATGCTTTTCTTTCTGAAACCGTGGAAACCGGAACATGGAAACCAGGTAGAAATGAACGCGGCGGAACATACATATCCTGCACATGCGCACGCCAAAGTGACTTCCTTCTTTCTCAGTTTCTAAATCTGCTCCTTTGCTCAATCATGTTGTTTGCGTTGCACGTGTTCGGAGGGGATCATTCTTACAGTTCTTCCTCATCATAAAAGAGTGTTGAATGGCTTTCCACCTTGAAAGTGAAGACGGGGCAAGAAGAATGTGTGATGATTAGGAAGTGTTATATATGGAGATGTAGTCACCAGCACGACGTAGCCAGTTGTCAGGAGTTTCCCCAGCGACAGGTCGCTCACGTGGACGGGAAAATACGGAATTGCTCGCTCGGCAGTATTCGCTCGACTCGTCATCGGCCAGTCGTGTTCCTGTAGTAGGCTGTACTGGCCAAAGCCGTTGACAGCAGCCGCAGTGGCCCATCCCTAGGCCGTTGACCAGTGCGATTTTCCTCTACTCCGAAATGACATCTCCGAGAGGCGACCTACATTACCGGTTCGATCCTGGTTGAAGTCGCGACTCGTTGGAAACTCTTGTCCAAGCTGTTCGCATATTCTTCTGTCTCGTCTTCCGACTTTGATTCGCTCGCCTACCCTTACTCGTGGTCGCCAAGATGCGACACGGAGTGCTACGCTCGTGCCTGGCACTAGCCGTGGTTGCTAGCGCCGTAGCTCTTCCAGCAATCATTCCGGTAAGTCAGTTAGCTATGGTCATTGACATTGTCAATCTGTAGCACCATTCATCATGTTTATCGTTGTTCAGTGCGAGCGTTCCGAAGTGTTATGGCAGGCGCACTGGTATCTGCTTTGCTTGTAACTAATTATTACTTAGCACTTTGTGGTAGGCGCTATTCAGAAGGTCTGATGACCATCATGGTCGGTGTGTTGCACTAAGGCCAGTAAGGGTATGAATGCAGTCAACGAGGGAAACTAATTTTAAGAACTACTGTATCTGGTATGCACTACTGGTTTTCCCCATTGATATACACCGGGCCCATAGCATGTAACGAACATATTCTCACTCTGCCAACACTGGGGTGAATATTGACGGGACATTAGACAGTATAGTTGGGTGTGTGCACAGCACACCACACCAGGAGCTGCCGCATTTCCACGGTGTGCGACACTGATGCCGTGATTTTAGCCCCTGTGGAGTGCGGATTCTACTTACCCTTCGGACTAGTACATCCTAATTTGCTAATTTGCTACCTTGCCAAAGTTGTACCCTAGTTTATACCTAGTACTCGCGTGAGGTCACTAGCTCACGCCTGCTGCGGCCTGTATCAAACACATCCTTTGGACATAGTAGTCATTGCTGACATTCCCGTCTGATGATCGCTTGTGTGCGTAAAGCAGAGTGTACTGTACCCAGGAACGTGTGCCTGTCTTTGCATTCCGTTAGTGGACCTCAAATTAAGTTTGCCAGTTGGGAGAAGCAATGCTATGGAAAGTAGCCCAGGAACACAGGAGCCTGCTTCAGTAACCAGCATACAGCATATCGTGCTGCTTGGTTTTAAAGCTCTTTGGGTTGGAGTATTTCTCACCCCGAACCGCTAGTGGCAGTGCACTGAAAATTGAAGTCGGCAGCACTGTGTACAAGAATGTGAGCAGTTTGGAACTTGCTCGTTATGCCATACTACTAACATGAACCCCTCCCTACATAACCATGTGCCTCGGTTCGCATGCATGCAGTTATGGCAACATGCAGGTGTCCTATACCGTTGGTTAAACTGAGTATCAATTCTGCAACTGTAAGTGTGTTATTATTTTCATTTTATTTTTACATCGGAAGCTCAACAGTGCAGCTGCACAAATATAAAGAGGCCGTGTTTACCACGACATCCTAGATAGTGGGGGGGGGGGGGGGGGGATCTGTTTGGATAGCCAGTTCATTCATTTGACCATGGCAATTCCCAAGGCACCATGGCACTTACCCGTTTGTAATTTCACCCTAATATTTGAAGTGTCAAACATGTGTTTTCAGTGAAGACTGAAGAAGAGTAATTTCAGTTCTCCGGTGTTTTTTCCTATATTTAAAGCGTGAAATTCTGGAGGCAGTCTGCATGGCTTGCCTCCATTTTGAGCTCCTTGATGACTTCCCACCAAAACCCGGTGCTCCCGGTTAGGATTTCGATGACGCCAGTGTTGTGTACAACTTTGATAGGTTTCCCCGGGTCACCTGACTTGGAGTTTGGCCGTGTAATAGTGCATCAGCATTGCCAGGTCTTGTTATGCCAATGTCATGCAGTGTATTGCTCATGTGACAGTAGATGGTCAACAATATCATTGTCGAATTGTGACAGCTGGAGAGCTTGACCTGTTCCTTCTCTGTCGTAGACGTGCTATCCTGCTGTCAGTCAAAGCGTCCCCGAGCCTGCAAAGAATTTATAGCTATGCGTTGGTGACACGCAGGGCTGGATTTGACGGGGGTGACGCAGACCTCTCAACTCAATCTGCAATGTACAGTCATTGTAGTTTGCGTGCATGTGTGCGCAGGTGTGTGGGTGGCAACCTGCATCTTGCTTTCTTGAACACTGTATTTTCCGGAGTGCAAGCCACACTGGAGTATACGCCGCACCCCCTTTTTTTTTGCCATGAAATGCAGACATGTATCCTATTTATCACTGTTAATTTGATCATCGGAGGATATAAGCCGCACCACCTTTTTTGGGGTAAAATTTGAGTGTTCAAAGTGTGGCTTATACTCCGAAAAATACGGTTATTAACATCTGATCTTTGTGTATCTGGTTATGTGTTTTTTGCATGATCTCTGATCATTGTCAACATGCAGAGTCGCACAGAAAACAATGAAGGTGAGCATGCTATGCTGTAGTCTCAGTCAGTGTTGAATACAACCATATTGTCACAATACGAACTTATAAGTAGCGACTTTGGCGGTAATGATGGACGAAGTTGAGGTTTTGCCGGGTGGAAGGTTCAACGTGCTCCTCAGGTGCTCCGCATGGTAGTCGTGAGCCAGCCAAGTGTCAAGTTCGGCACGAAGCATGATGTGCGTGTATACACTAGGGAAGTTGAGTTTCTTCTCCCTGAAAGACCAGTCGTCATTGCGAGGAGGTGATCATTCTGCACGGGGCACAGGCGTGATACGATGAACTAACAGTTACGTAGAGTGATGAGGTGGAGTAACGTTAGAGACATGTGGCTTCTCGCTGGTGTTGTGGTTTAGGTCAGGTTGCGTAAGTGTGTCGGTATTGTGCAAGTGGCATTGTGTGTGTGCTGGGTACACCGGCTGGACATTCTGTGTGTGCACGTGTGTTTGCACGTGTGTGTGTGTGTGTGTGTGTGTGTGTGTGTGTGTGTGTGTGTGTGTGTGCATGTGTTCTTTGACTCACAGCTTGTGCTGCGAACGAGGTGTACCATGAGTGCGGCACGGCGTGTCCCGCTACGTGCGACAACATGAACTCGGGTCCGCGCATTTGCCCCGCTATGTGTGTGATGGGCTGCTTCTGTACCGAAGGCTTTGTGCGTGCGTCCGGCGAGAATGGAGCTGGATGCGTTCGCAAAGAAACGTGCACAGGTGAGTTGGCATGGCATGGCTGGTGCTATTCAGTGGCATACGTTGATTTTCCTCGGGTAGGGTAGGTGGTCCATTTTCTCCCCGATGTTCTACTTCTACCCAGCTCAGTCATGTGGGCAATGTGCTTGGATACATCCCTTTTGGAGGGGTGCATCTGTCCGTTGTGCCTTATGTCACACATACGCCGGTCAGGTTTCCGGTATTGATTTTGTCCACTGGGTGGCTGAAGTAAGGCTGGGAAGATCCACCGTGATAGACCATGCAGGAGACAGCGATATTATTGATGTCTGCTCTGGAATGACATTGTTTTGAGTGATGACATTCTCCAAAGTCTTTTGTGCTGTGTGCATGTGTGACCTGAAAGCAACTTTGTGTCTGAGCCTATGGGTTAGTCTGGTTGTTGGTGTTGGTTGCTGTTTTGTCATGTACTTCTCGTCTTACTTGATCGAACTTATCAAAAGTGTGTTCTTACTTGCTGGACCGAGTCCATCCTTTCAGCATCAGCCCAATGTTTGGAATAATATGCATCCTCTATGTTCCTGCACACCAGGTCCTGAATCCAGCGCGATACCATGGCTGGTCGGTTAGAAGATACTTCACCGAAACTAGTATTTCATCAGTGTACGAATAATTGGGCTCAGTTCTATCATAAACTACCCTGCTGGTTGATACTGTACTCAACTGGTAGCCCTTATTTTTCTGTTATGGTGGTGCAAATTGAACAAAGTTATTGCTTTTGCTCATGCTGTCTTCGTTTACCCACAGCTCCATTGGCTTCTGAAGAGCAGACCTTTGTTGCCGAGGGTCAAACGCAAACAGAACGATCAGGTAGGAGCGCTTAGTTGGTGGTGAGGCTTGTACCATGGATGGCTCTGGCATTATCCCTGTTGTGTTGGAACTATGTGGCAGCACTACTGTGGGTTGCCGTATCTCCTGGGTCGAAGTCGCGCCGGTGTATGAGCTGCGCCCCTCTTGGTAGGAAACGTCACATGCCAGTTCGTATTTGTACATACGAAAGTGAATGTTCATGTGGTAGCTGGAGGGCGCGTTCCTGACATTTCTTAGGAGAAAAGGTGCGCCTCTGTGTAAAGCACTTATATTTGAGATTTACATAGTGCCAGCTCTCCATATCTGAAGAGAAACGTCCAGTAACGTGGAACTGGACAGATAGCAACAGTGCATGGCTCGATTGAAAGTTGATTCTATGGATGATGGATAAACCTGTTGCCGGGAGGTAAACAATCTGGATAAGTTTTTGAATTGTGTTGGGACCAATTCAGAGTTGGTTTGTGGGTATGCTTGTGTTATGTGTGGCAGACTGTGGCGCCCATGCAACCTACTCTGATTGTGGCTCTGCATGTGAGGCAACATGTGGCAACAGCAACACTGCTGACCAGGTGTGCCCTGACGTGTGTGTGAGCGGATGCTTCTGTGACCCTGGCTACATCCGTGATACGCTTGTCGTCAACTCACCGTGTGTCATGGAACACATGTGTCTGGGTAGGCTTGTGTAGCCAGTTTTTGGCCTTTCCTGAAGCAACCATGCTGCTGTCTGCTGTCTTTCACCTTCTCTCTCTCACTCACTCACACACACACACACACACACACACACACGCACACGCACACACATGCCTGTTTGCCATTCTTGTGGTCACCAGCGAACTCCTAGTGTCTGTCTGTCTGCATGTCTGTCTGTCTACCTGACTGCCTGTCTCCTGCCGTTCCTCCACCCGTCGTGTAACACAGGCTTGTGCTACCTTTAAGTTGGTTTGAGTATTTCGTGACACTCATTGGCCTTTGAATACACACACTCTTGGTCATGCGGTTTGATCTGCCTCAGAACCCCCTGCTGGAGTCCACACTGGCGTTGACACACAGGACTTGGCGGTTGAACCCCCGGCACAAAGTAAGTCTTGGTAACTCAAACTGTCATACCACGTGCAGGCAGTACTTAAGGTGACTATATTTCCTAAGACTGTTTCTGTCTGTATCAAAGGCGGATTATTTTGCGACAAGAAACTCCGGTTATTTAGAAAGCTAGAGCAGTTTTCAGTGGTATGACTGTGATTAAAGTTTGAACACAGACCAGATTAATAATCCTGCTGGAAGTTTGCAAAGTTCAAAGTTCACGATTTGGCATCCCTCGCATAAATCGCAAACAATGGTACATGTCAATCCTGAAACATAGCCCACTTCACGGTTCCTGCAATCTGATGAAGCAGAACGATGTTTGCACGAGGTATCATGGTGTGTAGGTGTTGTTAGGCGTGGATGCAGCCTGCATACTGGGCAGCAATGCCAACCTTTCCGCTTCTGTCTCATGTGAGCTCTGCTACGTGCGGTGGTGGAGTGTATGGAAACGAGAGGAAGAAAGAATGAAAGAGAGAGAGAGAGAGAGAGAGAGAGAGAGAGAGAGAAATAAATAAAAGGAAGTGTACGGCTAGCCAGGACTGGGTATAGAAATGTGTGTATGTGCGTGCGTGTATGCATGTGTTTGTTCGCACATACACGTGTGAGGAACGGAGCTATAGCACCATTAGCTGCCAAGCGGGTACTATGCAGCGGTCACTGTTTTTTTCATTTTTCTTTTAAAGTTTAAAGCACACGATCCTACTGATGATGTGGGGTAACAGTAAAGTGGGCCAGAAGACTAGGACAAACAGACAAAAGGGGTTGGACATGCAAAAGCAAGGTGCAGGTGAGGCAAGTCCAGCTAGTCCAGCTAGTCCGACCAGAGGTCTCGGAGTCAGCACTGGATGCGCGCAACAGGAAGGGGTGGGGGCGGGTTGAGGAGGGGGGGGGGGGGAGGAATGTAGTACTAAAATAACAGCATAAAAGTAGAAAATCACATTAAGGTGTAAGGCGTTTGTACTGTTTTATGGTTCTTAGTTGATCTTAGTTGCCGTCTGTGGCCCACAGCCAGTCCTTGAAAGCAGCAGGCATACTCTTCAACGATAATTCTTGCCGGAAAAGAGCAGGGGGTCTTGTGCAGAGCATTTTCTGGGATTTAGCTGGCTAAAACTTCACCCTCCAGCGCTCTTCCCCCCCCCCCCCCCCCCCCATTCGTTCAGGAGGGACAGTGACGCTTGCAAGGAGGCAGTGTTGTCAGCAGGGGTTCCGGGGCTCAGGAGGCTGTACAGGGTGGTGTCGTCGGCAAAGGATTCTGGTTCCCGGGGCTAAACATTGGTCAAGGTCACTGACATAAAGAAGGAACAAAGTTGGGCCAAGGATGCTTCCTTGTGGCACCCCAGCTTTTTAAAATTGGTTGGGCACAGGAAGTTTGGCCTCGGACTAAGACCTTCAGCTCTCGTCGGCTAGAGAGGTAATGCTGGAGCCAGGTGCGTAGTGTGCCAGTGAGGCCAGCTTGCTCTGCTTTGTGGAGGACTCTGATGTGTGACACTCGGTCGGAAGCTCCGGCAACGCCGACGGCAACCACCTGTACAGCTCCACCGTTGGCGACGATCTGGACCCATTCATTTTGTAGAGCAGTCAGAACATCAGCAGTTCCTCTGTTGCTGCGGAAACCATACTGGCTGTCGAGGAACGTGCGGCTTCAAGTAGTATCTGAGTTGAAGGAGAAGGCAAGTGTGCTGGGTCAAGCGTAAAGCGGTCGGGGCCAGACGTTCGCAGCAGTGACTGTTTCTAAGCCAGTGGCGTGGAGCGTCAATCGGGCGGACACTTTCCCCGTCTTCTGTGGTGTGTATGCTGCACTCATGGACCTTGACAGATTTGGCCACAGCCACAGATCTCTGCTGAGTGAACTCTGTAACACACTCCTCTGTGCAATCAGAGTTCAGATTTCCCACATACACAACTTGGACCTTGACAGGTTTGGCCACAGCCACAGATCTCTGCTGAGTGAACTCTGTTACACACTCCTCTGTGCAATCAGAGTTCAGATTTCCCACATACACAACTGCCTTCCTTGTTTGGTGGTGTTCTTTGGATACTAGTTTCCACGATTCATCAGCGATTGGGTCGAACGATGTTTTTCTGGGGCTTGACTGGGGGGCGCCCAACAGTCTGAAAACTGTCATCTTCGTCGCTCGAGATCTCACGATCACTGTCAGTATCACACACGTGTACGCGTTGGAAAGTGCTACGGTGTTCTCCTGTTGCTGCACCAGTGCATGTGGTGACCTGGCCTTTGCGCGTACGGGTACGGCTACAAGATCCCTTGCGCCTCGTCGTACGCTGGGGCGGTTTAGCCGGAGGAAAGGTAACACGGTTGCCGTTGCTATGGCGGTCTCCATGGCGACAACCTCCTCATTCAGTCCTGTTATCTGTATCACCAGTTCGTCAATCCAGCTTTGGAGACGGTCCTCCCGGTTGGCAGACTCCGACACGAGTGCTGGCAGCATCTTGGCAATTTCAAAGACGGACGATTCTATTTCAGGGACGGAGCTCAAAAGTTTTATTTCCAATGCCGTCAGGAGGCTGTGGGTGGCAGTTTTGGGCAGCATGGCTACCTATGTCTGCCAATTGCTCCTACCTAGACAGTATTTACTACTCACCACTCTTCTCTCCTATCCTGTAACTACAGGGAAACCTGTCTAAGACGCGAGACGACCGCTCAAGGGACTTTCGAAACGTGGTCTTTGTTGCCAGGTGGTCTCCTCATCCAGGGTCATTTGACTGGAAAGAGCATCCCTTGATTCTGGTTCCAGTGGTCTTGTGGGACAGGTGGCCGTCTTATCCGAGTGGTCGCCTTGACAGGTTTCACTGTACCTCCAGACCGGCTGGGCTGAGAAATCGCACGAAAATCTACGGAGCTCGAAAATGTCCAACCGTCCCCTGTGCAGCCTGAGTTGAACCCCGCTTGAGCGTGCCACACGACTGATGTTTGTCAGTGACACTAGCGCACACCTCTGCCAAGCCAGCCCCCCCCCCCCCCCTCCACCGCCATCTTCAAAGGAGCGTCTTTCTGTTTCTTGTCCTTGAGGACTGCGCTGGCTAGTGTAGTTTTTGGCCTATCACGGTGGCCAGCATTTCAGCTCTTACATGGATGGGAAAGGATAGATGGTTCTGGGATAGGGTAGATAGGCACTAGTTATGCACCACTATCAATTTTGTATGTCCCAGCATGTGCCTGATCTCTCAGTATGAATGCTGTGATGTGCTGCTCTGAACTTGTTTCTGTAGACGGCAACCAGGCAAGCTCTGCTGCCTGTGGACTGAACGAGGTCTTCACCGAGTGTGGCACGGCATGTCCGACGGCTTGTGGCGTTGCTGCACCACTGATCTGCACACTGCAGTGCGTGGTCGGCTGCTTCTGCCAGCACGGCTTTGTGCGCGAATCTGCTACCGATGGTGCACGCTGCATTAGCGCTTTGGAATGCCAAGGTAAGGGATCCGGCATTTATCCGCCCTGCTACACTATGGTGGCTTCTCTTGTCCCACGGGACTCTTGTGTGAAGTCCATGCTAGTCCTTTGCTTTGTTGGAATAAGTAGAAATATAATCATTTATGAAGTTGGTTGTTCCAACGAGGAACTTCTAAGTTTATAATCATTTAGTTTGCAGATTACAGTCATGGAGCAGCACCTAGCATGGTAGCCAGCTGCGCACACTTGGTTTACTCTCAGTGGATATCATGTAATTTACCTGAGCTGACTTCATCACCGTGATGTTTATAGTAAGCATTTTCTTTTGCTTCTTGGTGTCATTCCGCCTTAGCTCAACAAGTGGACACTCCAGCACCAGAGATTGCACCGGTTGGAAACTTTGGGCTTGAACTGCCTGCAGAAGGTGAGCATGTATCGTACGTCGTATAATGCTGCTTGCTAGCTTCTTTTGGTACCTTAGAGCCTCGATATCATCATCAGGTGTACCAAAGAGCTTTGATACGAGCAAATTGTATCATCGTCATCATGCATTATATTACATGACACATGCCTTCTAGCTTGCTCCTTCCGCCAGTATAATTTAAAAAGTGTTACACAGCACAGGAGAGAGAGAGAGAGAGAGAGAGAGAGAGAGAGAGAGAGATAGAGAGATAGGGAGAGAGAGAGAGAGAGAGAGAGAGAGAGAGAGAGAGAGAGAGAGAGAGAGAGAGAGAGAGAGAGAGAGAGGAAGGGAGGGAAAGGGGGGGGGGGGAGCTGTGCTGCAACTCCGAGTTTCACGTAGTCACGATCATCAGGCAACTAAAAAGTGTTGTCATCTACTTTGAGTACTTCACTGGAACGTAAACCATGTGTGCATGTTTCCGTGTTTTCCTTGACAGCGAATACCGGGGTGGACACACCTCAGTGCAGTCAGAATAAAGTCTACCAGGAGTGTGGCACAGCATGTCCAGCAACGTGCGGTGTTTCAGCTCCGATGATGTGCACCATGCAGTGTGTTATGGGATGTTTCTGTCAGTCAGGATTTGTACTTGAATCCAGTGCTAACGGTGCCCAGTGTATCAGCCATGCTGAATGTGAAGGTGAGAGCAATCGAGTGTCCATGAGGGAAACATTTCACATGTCAGATTTCTGATGCTTGTTTTTTTTTAAGACAAGAAACTGCATACATTGAACATGTTTGCGTTATTTGCATGGGGTGTTTGTTCACAGATAACTGAACCCTGTGTGCCTACTTGTGTGAAGATATTACGCCCTTTGTCTTCTTCTTGACAAAATAATGTGCTTGTTCCTGTCTTTTCGAATCAGCACGGCAAGCGACACCGCCAGCAGTTCATCTTGAGGATCACATCGACTTGGATCTTTTTGACTGTAAGTGTTGTTGTAGGCAAGCACATGCATGCAATGAAAATGCAACACTGTCTGTACAATTGGTGAGGTAACACAAAGGTTAAAATGCCAACAACACATGTATTTTATAATCAGCAAGGAAAGCTTTCGCATTTATGACTCAGGGTCATAAATGCTAAGGCTTTGCTTCTTGATTTGCTGCCAGAGCGACGTGTTCATATAAACTTTTGGTGGTCTTCTAATCCAAGGACCAGTCAGTGCCGGCGCCACTGGTACAGCCGGTGCGGCCATGGCCGCACCAGACTTTACCAATTCCAGCTTTCATGTGATGTCTCGTCTATGATGAGTATCCTTAATTATGTGAAAGCACCAGCAAGCTATCCTTGCGAGAGTCTCTTCCTCCTAAACTGTCGTTCTTGTCCAGTGAGGACTACTGTGCTAGCTGTATATTCGTTGCTAGCGGAATGATCTGAAACAATCAGATATGATGCAGCACTGATGCATCCTCCCATGACCCTGAAATTAGGCATTGGGGAATGACCGGGGCTGTAACCGACCCGGGGCCGTGCCACCATTTATGAGCTGGCTCCGGGCCTGGCATTTTTGCAAACCACATTTATTGGGCATGAACGGGGAGGGAGGGAATGATCGAGACCCTATTCAATCAAAGCAATTCTGGCAACGCGCGCATGTGTGTGTGTATCCATGTAAATAATAAATATGCCGTAAAAGTCCGTAAATAAGTACCTGACCGAAAGAAATACACCCTTCATTCTTTTGGCTCTGTCTGTTGAAGTCAAGTCAAGCCCGATAAACATACTGCCCGAAATAAGTACCGGTACGGTGCGCACATGCAGCACGTAGCATGTACATCGACATGAAAATGACTTCTCCACTACACACAAGTCAGGTCCGAAAGTTAGTTCGTGCCCGAAGTCAGTACCCGCCCGAAAGTTAGTACGGGTGTTGCCACTAAATTCGAAAGTAAATACGTACTTATTTACGGACTTTTACGGTAGTATATATATATGGGTGTGTTTGTGCATGCGTGTGAGTACGTTTGTGCAAGGGTGTGTGTGCACTAAAGCGTGAAAAGTGAAACATCCTTGTCCCTGAATCTGATTCTCATTCTACGCCAGATTTTGAATCTGCCAAGTTGTCGCTCATCCTTCTCTGCCTTTGTACAATCTTTCTATGCAGCAAGCACACACGTGGACACGCCTCAATGCAGTCAGAATAAAGTCTACCAGGAGTGTGGCACAGCATGTCCAGCAACATGCGGTGTTTCAGCTCCGATGATGTGCACCATGCAGTGTGTTATGGGATGTTTCTGTCAGTCAGGATTTGTACTTGAATTCAGTGCTGACGGTGCCCAGTGTATCAGCCATGCTGAATGTGAAGGTGAGAGTGGTGGTTGTAGTAGATGCTGTAGTGAAAATTCCCGATACTAGTGCAACCACAGTGCAGTTCTGTGTGAAAAGAATTATCATAAATATATGGTTGTATTGATTGACAGACGAGTCGTTGGATTAAAAAAAAAGGTTTTCGAGGAGTGACTTTGTAGGGGTTAAAAGTACTACAGTGCTGCTCAATGAAATCTGGTCGCATCGCTCAAGTTGCACCCCGCACCAGTACACCATTCCAGTGTCCGCAGGTCTAGGGCTTGCATTCACTTGCTTGATCGGATTTCATTGAGCAATACTTTAGTTGTGGAGTGTGCCTATAATTTTTTTCTTCTATCAACAATAACCGTTCCACTGTGCTGTGTTGTGCTGGTGTCTTTGTCCTGCTGTGTAGCCCGTCAATCTGCAACTCAACCGCCTGCCCCAGAGACCGGTAAGGATTCAATGTAGCACATCTTGCTAATTGTACCAGAGACCTTCATAGGAATGTGATCATCTTTCTTGTGTAGGAATTTGATCAGAACTGTATCAGGATTTCCTCTGTGCTTCTTTACGTGATGCACTAGTGTGCTCATATAATGTATACATTTGTATTTATGGGTGTGATTTTCGTCATCAGCTGTGGCGACCGAAGCAGTATGTCCATCCGGCGAGGTGTACAATGAATGTGGCACAGCATGCCCGTCAACTTGCACGCAACCCGGTCCCAGGCCGTGTGCCAAGATCTGCTCTCGTGGCTGCTTCTGCCCCGAGGGTTTCGTAAGGCAATCGAGTGAGAACGGCGCACCGTGTGTGCAATCCCATGACTGCCCAGGTAACGTATTGTTCATTGATCAATGTTTTAGTGTTCCAGCTTTCTACGCTTTTCATGGGGTAGATTTGCTGCTATTTCCTGGGCAGTCATGGTCGTGCAACAGCTGATTTAACAAGCAGCACTGATGTGTGTGTCTAACATTGTGATCTGCTCCAGCTTGTGTTGTTTTGCTCATAATCATTATGATGAGAAAAGGTTGTGAGCGACAAAGGTCGGCCCAGATTCAATCATTGCAGTTGAAAAAATATTTCAACATTTTGGTCATGAAATAATCGTAATGTGTGAACTATCTCCTTGCAGTGCTGCTCATTTTAACCCAGTCCCACCCGTACCCACTACATTCCTTATGATGGTTATTTCATGACAGAAACATTTTTTTCCTGAAATGAACTAGTAAACTGCAGTGAGTGTTGGCCAGTATTGATCCCAACCATTTTCTACTTATGGAGCAGAGTGAAGCGTCCTGCAGGATTCTAAATCGATACGATGGTTCGAAATTTTTTCTTCGAGTCGCTAGGTAAGCAATTTCCTTTGTTTGTTGCTGTTTGCTTCCTTGACAGCAAATACCCAGGTGGACACGCCTCAGTGCAGTCAGAATGAAGTCTACCAGGAGTGTGGCACGGCATGTCCAGCAACATGCGGTGTTTCAGGCCCTAGGATGTGCACCATGCAGTGTGTTATGGGATGTTTCTGTCAGTCAGGATTTGTCCTTGAATCCAGTGCTAACGGTGCCCAGTGTATCAGCCATGCGGAATGTGAAGGTAAGAGCGGTTGCTGCCATAGTTAAACGCTTCTTCACTTTCATGTGCATGGATGCTAGGCAAAAATCCGATGGTGAAATTACCAATATTCATACAACGAAGGTGCAGTTCTGTATGGACTGAATTCCCACGTGTATCGATTGGCATGTTATTCTTGGACTAGGCTTCATTGCGATCAGTTGGGCCAGTCATTCTGAGTTCGCTGACGAGACCAAACCAGGTTGAAGCAGCTAGCTGTCCGGGGGTTTAGTCACAGTGACTCTTGGATTAAAATGGTCCTGGAGGAATATCTGTTTTTATCGGGTTTAGCCCCGGTTTTGGATTGTGCCAAGTAATCTTTTTTTCTTCTATCAACAATCACCGTTCCACTGTGCTGGTGTCTATATCCTGCTGTGCAGCCCGTCAATCTGCAACTCAACCGCCTGCCCCAGAGACTGGTAAGGGATTCAGTGTAGCACGTATTGAATTGTACAAGACAACTTCACCGGAAACCGATCAGAACTTCATCAGGATTTCTGCAGTGCTTCTTTCAGTGATTCACTAGTGTGCTCATGTAGGTATACTTTTATTTATGGATGTATTTCTTGTCATCAGCTGTGGCAACCGAAGCAGTATGTCCATCCGGGGAGGTGTATAATGAATGTGGCACAGCATGCCCGTCAACTTGCACACAACCCGGTCCCAGGCCGTGCGTCAAGATCTGCTCTCGTGGCTGCTTCTGCCCCGAGGGTTTCGTAAGGCAATCGAGTGAGAACGGTGCACCGTGTGTGCAATCCCATGACTGCCCAGGTAACGTAATGTTCATTAGTCAATGTTTCAGTGTTCCAGCTTTCTACGCTTTTCATGGGATAGAATTGCTGCTATTTCCTGGGCTGTAGTGGTCATGCAACAGCTGATTTAACAAGCAGCACTGATGTGTGTGTCTACTGCAAAGTGGAAGACTGTTGCCAGGGATTAATGTTTGCCGTTTTCGCTTCCATGCAAATTTAGATTGCTGCGAGCTGCCGAGTCTCTGCACTGATTGTGGATAATACATTATCCGACTGAATAGATAGAATCACGAATGTTTCTCACCGCAAGCCAGTGTAGCTCTGGAAACTGAAAAATTTGCATCCAAAGAAAGTTTCTGGCTCAATAGTTTCTGTGTGATCTGCCCCATGGTGTATATCTTGTTCATAATTCATAATTATGTTTGTTAGTTACAACATTGTTGTATTGTATTGTTCTCTGCTTGTGTTGGAGCAGTACTTCACGAGGAATGTCCAGTTGGAGAGGTGTACCAAGCGTGTGGCACGGCATGCCCGTCATCATGCGCACATCCTGGTCCGAGACCGTGCTCCAGGATCTGCTCGCGTGGCTGCTTTTGTCCTGTGGGCTCTGTGAGGCAATCGGAGGAGAATGGCGCCCCGTGTGTGCAAGCATCGAGCTGTCCCGGTAGGTCAATGATGATGGTTCAGTGGATATTGTTATCGTGTGCGTGTCTGCGCAGAACTATAGTGCTGCTTAAAGGAATCAAACTGTCTAAGTGAAGTTTGCGCCCCTGTGCCAGTACAGATCCCATTGTTCACAGGTCTGGGGCTGCACAGCGCCTGGCATGGGTATTGACTCGTTTGATCGGATTTCATTGAGCAGCACGGTCGTAGAAAGGTTTCCAACACGTGTAGGAGTCCAGGATGATATGTACTATTGGCATTTCAATCTCCCGGTCCTGGTAACTTATTCATGCTGCAAGCTCAAAGTCTGAATTTTCCAGTTTGTATTGCCTTGCGTTGTTTTCACAGCTGCAGTGGACTGATCATTTGTCTCTCGTGTTTCCCATTCCTCTTGTACCAACACGTTCATCGATACTGCCAGATACCGATACATCTAGACTAACATTGGATTGCCCACATTGACTAAACAGTGTGGAGTAAGAATATGAGTGAGAGTGTAATCGTGTGCCTGCCTCTGTTTTGGGTCATGTTTTTAAATGTTCTGGTTTAGTTCCTACAACCTCACCGCCCTCAACTGTTGGCCCCAATGCCGATGTTTTCATCGACCACGACCTCATCTTCTCAGTAACAAGTAAGTCTAGCATTGTGCATTCATGTACCAGCCCCTGTTAGCTAGTTCCGTGCTGCAAAAACTGCTGCCCGGTGTCGCATCTACCACCTCACTAGGCAACATGCAGTGTTTTCGGCTATCACCTGCAGAGTCTTCCAGAAGGTAGTTTTGACTGGTGGCCCCCGGGTATTCAGGTCCACCCCCACCGTGAGCAATCTCTTGTTTGTACTTCAAGTAGGGCCGGCCATGAATTCTATACACTGAGGGGTTCGAGAGTGTAGTATGCGACCAGGCTAGTATTCCTGCTTCCCGCAGGGGAGGGGAGCTCCTCCTGATTCTGGTATCCATGCTTCATTTGTATAATATCGCACCACTCTAAGCACTCTTCCATGCTGCATTGTGATGTTATCATCATGTGGTCATGATGTCATGGCAATGTGATGTCACTATGGTGATGATGATTATGTCGATTTTCAATCCCTTTGGTTGTGCTGCACGCAGGGGCTTGCTCGGATCCTCTGGAGGTATTTCAGACGTGCGGTTCAGCCTGCCCAGCCACATGCAATGACACCGTTCCCGCCGTCTGCTCCATGCAGTGCGTGCAGGGGTGCTTCTGCGCGCCAGGCTTTGTTCGCTCCGAGGCCGGTGGCCGCTGTGTGCCGCAAGTCACTTGTGGTGAGTACGAGTAGAACTCCGTTAGTGCATGCCACTTAAGGACAGACATTCCAGTTAGGGAAATGACTGTTCAGTCACAAATGCTGTGATTCAAGTTGTAGTGAGTTCTACAGTCAGCACACCCTTCGATGCATGATGTGTCCAACACTACAAACACATGACGCTTTTTAGCCGATTTAGAACTGCTTTGTTGCTTTTCTAATACCTCAGTGAGATCGGGTCGGCCAGTAACTCTGAGATCTGCTGATGAGACCTTATGAGGTGGAAAGAGCTATCTGTCCAGAGATTGAGTATGTACCTGCAGTGTATCTACATGTAGTGAATGTAATTGAGAGGTTTGCGCTGTGCAGTAGCACTTGTGCTTAGCCTAAATTCACCCGGAGACCACCCTGCTGGTAGGGACGTCGCCCAAGTTGCAAACTTGCTCCCATCGCTTCGATTTTGGTCTCGTTCGATTCTCCAGGGCGTAGCATAGGCAATCTGCAAGTATTATTCAAATCCGCCCAGCCATTCTTGAGTTATAGTGATTTTGAAGTGCACCTAATTTGGACTTTCGCAGGGAACAGAAGTCAATGGGAGTGACGGGAGAATCGGGAAAATTTTAAGACGACTGCACAGTCAGTGCATGCAGTGCAGTGTACAGTGCACACGCCTCGTCACTCGAACTGCGCGTACGATAGTGCATACTTGGTATGCGCAGGAGAGATTCACCTGGTTTCAGTGTTGCCGACAGAGGGTCGAGAAGGAAGCCCCAGACATCCCGTGCCCCAACTACCGCTGTCACAGAGTGTTCCGTCGTCCTGGTGACCTCAAGCGGCATGCGCCGCACTGCAGATTTCGGATTTAGAGCCTCAGCGTGAGGAAGCCATCGCTATCATTGCTACGGGCGTTCAAGGTTCAAGGTTTAAAGTGTGCGCGCATGTGTATGCACGTGTGTGCATGTGCACATGTGTTGATGTCTGTGCCCATACATGTGCGTGCATGTGAGTACATGTACATGTGCATGTGTGTGTGTGTGCGTGTGTGTGCGTGTGTGTGTGTGTGTGTGTGTGTGTGTGTGTGTGTGTGTGTGTTTGTCATTGTTCTGGTTCAGCCAATAAGAAGGCAACCGTGGATGGTTCAGGTGAGTAAACACAAGCTCCAGTTTGTCAGGGAATACTGCTTTGACGTGTGTCACTCTAGTCTCTAGTTCAGCTTCACTGCAGTGCATTGCATTGGGTACATATGTACATGAGGGTTGTTCAGCACCAAGGGGAGTTGTGAAATGTGTACACATGACTTCCAAACTTCGAGGTTGAATTACATAATTTCAGGTGTTTTCTGATGATTGCTAATAGTGCGTGAAACTCGAGAGTAAAAATACTTTTTTCGTCCTCTTCTTGTTTTAATTTCAGGTGCCATAGTCTTGTGCTGTCTCCCTAGATGCTTAGACTACCAGGTTTAGGCTTCGTAGATAAGAGGTCAGACCAATCCTCCACGTGCAGTTGCAACAGGCTAGGCTTCAATAAAAAAAGTTTAATACAGAAAATTTCCTGGGAATGTGTTGCTATGACTGACCTGCTTAGTTCTCGTACCCATGTTTTTGTGCACGCTTTCGTGAGAAATCACACCTTGAATATTTTATGACTGACTGTGTTCTAGATTGCATGACCTGCAACAATGAAATGTACGAGCCTCTTTGCGGCAATGACGGCATGTCCTATCCGAACCTGTGTGCCCTGCGTCGCGAGGAGTGCCTGAAGAACAAGGCCGTTCAGGTCAGCTACAAGCGCCAGTGCAGAAGTCCAGGTAGGCGAGCGTCCTCCACTTGTGCTTGCAACTTACCGTTTGCTGCTGCTATGTCCATCTCAGTATGTTTTTGCAAAGTGTTTTGAGCATTCCCATCTCACTTTCATCCTGAGATTTGGATGCATGGCACGTGCTTTACCAGCTTATACTGGCGTGCCATTCCAATCCTGGTTATTTACTTTCGACTGTAAAACAAGTAATGTGTTAGTGGTCTCTTGCAAACTGTGTCAAGCAGGACATTTGTATTGCCTGTGCTGTGTTCTACACTCAGGGTGTAATCTTGGAGATCGTGCTGTCTTCAACTCAATGCTTGTCCGGTACATTCAGAAGAAGATGGAGGCTTCCCCTCCCAGACCAGAGCCTATTGCTGCCGCCGGACAATCCGGCTCAGCTGAGCCGGAACCGAATATTTCCCGTGTCCCGTTCAAGAAGGCCATCTACTGGATGTTCGATGAGCTGGACGTTAACCCTAGAGACAGGAGGCTGGGCAAGAGAGAGGCCAGGGCATTCCTGACGGTACGTGAGCTGTGCGGGCTACTATTGTGCATTCGCCAAATCTGGGTCCATTGGTTTTTCACAGTCTCACTTTTTTCTTTATCAAGATCGTGAAGTCGATGACCTATATAGGTCAGAAACAAGGTCAGAAATATGATAGCCGTTGTTTTAAGCCTAAGATGAAGTGAATGCTGTGAAAATTGATCAAGATATGTGTAAGAATGTATTTTTTTCAGACACAGATATTTGACTGATCACGTACAATATGCATTGACACAATACGTATGATATTTTTTGCAACACATCGTTCCGCTGCTGTTCCTCCGCTGGAAATCACCCGCACTCGTGCTTTGACACGTGAATACAGCCTCTCCAAGCTGCTCGATCCTGGGCCATCATGGAGAGTTCGTCAAGATGGTGCACATACATATAGTTTTAGTGTATCAGGGACCCCGATTTGGCGAATGCCCTGTAGTTACATGGGTTCACAGACAGGCAAAGATGTGCTTCCCAGTAATTGTATGCGGCCTACATCATTACGGGCACCTGTGCGGAGCAAGCTCTGCTCTGCCACATGCGTGCAGCCCCAGTAGCACACCACACAGTTTGTGTGCATGTATTTGGACTTCGCGCCCTGTGGAAGAACCCGGAACAAGTTGTTAGTTGTCACTTCAAGTTCCACACCAAACGGAGATCATCAGACAACGGTAACTGGAGACTGATGGGCAACTGAAATACCTGCACTGAAGGTGGGAGATCCCTGGCCAGCTATCGTTTACACTTACAAGTGCCTGCCTTTGTGTACTTGAACCTCCGATGTATTAGTAGTTTCAAAGTGAACCGGTTCCCATTGTGGGCTAGCATGCAGCTCATGATGTGCTGCGTTGTGGAGTACAGTTGAGATAATAGAGAGGTTAAGATGCACGCTATTTCTGACGTGACATGCATTTTCACGTCAAATTTGTCGTAAAACTCCTGATTGTGACGCGAGCTGCAGGTCACTCGCGTTGTTTTTCGACGCACGAGCCAAATAACGAGAGCTGAACTTTCGCGTTGCGTCAGAAATCACATGCATCTTAACCTCTCTAATAATCAACAACTCTGCTGGTTGTGTTATATGCTGTCCGGTGTGCCCTGTCAGGAGCTGAAGTCCCAGATCGGTCTGAAGGGCTGTGCCAGTACCATGTGGGCGTCGTGCGACTACAACCGAGATCACCACGTCTCGCTCAGCGAATGGTGTTACTGCACCGGTCTGGACTCAGGTAAAACACTTAACACTCCCTGCACTTATGCTATGCATTCCCCTCCACCAGGACTGCGGGGCAGTATGTTGTAGAAGCCGTCCCAATCACCGTATTTTCCCGGTTATACGGCAACCTTTTATGACTCCAAAGCCGAAATGGGCTAGTCAACTTGCAACCGGGGTTTAACTGCTATTGATGATATTGATATTGAACCTGTAAATCGAAGTCCCAAGTATTGGGATCGACTTATAACTTCTTACTGGAATCGACTTCTAACCGGTGAAATATGGTACTCAATCTGAATTCTCACACTGATAGTCTCTGTGCTGCGAAAATATCAGGCATGGCCCGTGCGTGCTCCCGGGCGAAACGCTAAAACCACTGAAGGTGAACAAGCCAGTCCAATGTTGTAGGAATACAAACAAATGAAGTTGCTGAGTGAGTAAATGGACAGTTTCAAGGCTGACCACCTCTGTTTCACTCTGTCCTGGTGTCTCTCATCCGTATGCAGTCTGTACACCGGAGAAGCGCACCATGTTCAACGAAAAAATTCTAGATCACATCAAAGACCTGAAGGCAGAGAAGGAGCAAGCCGAGGGGAGCCAACCTGAGCCAGAGCGCAATCCTAATGTACCCACAGCTGAGCCACGGCTCGACTCGCCAGCCAAGGAACTTGTGTACTGGATGTTTGACGAGCTAGATGTGGCGCCATACGATCGCCATCTCAGCCAGAAGGAGACCTGGCGATTTGTGGAGGGCCTCGAGACCAACGTGACGCAGAGAGCCTGTGGTAGTTCCCTCTTGGAACACTGTGATTGCAATAATGATCAGAGAATTGGACTGAATGAGTGGTGCTGGTGTCTGGGGCTGGACAATAGTAAGTAGCTGCTGGAAGTAGAATTGGGGTGTGTCTTTGATCCTCGCATTACATAAACTCTGTTTAACAGTACAGAACCACTAAGCATTATGGTTGCCACCTGTCTCTTTTTGTCTTTTGTCTTGCTCTTCATCCTGCCTCTTCACTTTCCCTTCCCTCCCTCCCCCTCCCTCTCTCCCGCCCTCTCTCCCGCCCTCTCTCCTAGCCTCCAAGACTCTCTGTCCTTTCCTTCCCCCTCCCATTTCTGTCCCTCTCTTCCTTCTTCTCTCCCTCGCTTCTTCCCTCCCTCCTCTCCCTCCTCTCTCCCTCCCTCCCTCCCTCCCTCTCTCCCTACCTCCCTCTCCCCTCCCTCTCTCCCCATCCCTCTCTCCCTCCCTCCCTCTCCCCCTCCTCCTCTCCTCTCCCCTCCCCTCCCCTCCCTCTTTCCTTCTCCCTTCCTCTCTCCTTCTCCTTCTCCCTCTCCCTCTCTTCCTTCCTTTCTCTCCCTCTTTTCCTCGCCCTCCCTCTCTCTCCCTGCCTACCTCTCTTTCCTGCACCCACATTCTTTAGTTTTTCTGTCTCTTTGTATTTTACTACCATAAGTTTGGTCAAGAATGTATATATGAAGGTTTCCGAGCAATTAGAATCATACGGAGTGTACAGTACGTACACACGGCTTATTTGCAGCTGCTGATTTTCACCCTGCTGTGTGTGCGTACTTTCATGGCTTTGTAGCTAAGTATCTCTCTCTCTTCTGTTGCTTGTGCTCACCACCGCAGCTTGTCCTGCCGATCGTCGACAGTACTTTCAGCAGAGAATGCTCGAGTTCATGAACAAGAAGAAAGCTCTCGCCGTGCCGGAGCCCGAGACGGAACCATCCGACGACTCCTCTCACGAACCGTACGATCCGAGAGCCGAGCCCAGGCTCAACACGCCCGCCAAGCAGACGATCTACTGGATGTTTGACGAGCTGGACGTGGCGCCGAGAGACCGCAAGCTCAGCGACCGTGAGCTCACTGGCTTCCTAGCCGAGGCGAAGTGCACGGTCAGTCCCCGAGCGTGTGCAGAGTCGCTGCAATCATACTGTGACTACAACGAGGACGGCTTCGTATCTCTGCACGAGTGGTGTTGGTGCAGTGGGCTGGATAATGGTAGGTTGAAACCTGACTATGCGTTGTGTGAGCTAGAGAACGGTGTATATGGGCTCTCACTTTTCTTTCAGCTTCGAAAATAGCTTCTGATTTGGTTAGCGACTATCCACAGGCGTTGGTTATTCGATGTGAGTGCAACTATGTATACACAATGTGGACAAGATGGAACAGGTTATTATTTTGTTATAACTTCAAGTTGCGTGTCAAAGGACAATCATTGGACAGTAGTATCTGTGTATGTATGTGTTTCCTGTGTGTTTCTTGATCCTTGAGGGTGATGACGTTCCCATGGATGCGGAAAACTCAGTCCGAGTCTCACAGGAGCTGTGATGTGTTTTTTCAATTCTTCCTGTGTTTCCTGTGCATGTCTGCTATGATTGCTGATTTTGCCATTCGGAGCAACAATGTTATGCTGCCTGCTTGTGTCAGATTTCCGTCCCTTCTGTTCATTCCCTCCTCTATGTGTGCCTATGTTGCATACAGAATGCACTCCTGAAAATAAAAACTACTTCAATGCTAACTTGTTGAAGCGGGCAGCTGAGTGGCACGCTCATCTTCACCCAATGATCAAGAACAGCGGTAGAGCAGGTGGTTTTGCCGTCATGGTACCCCACCGTCTGAGCGACCAAGACCTGCTGTTCTGGTTGTTCCGACGGCTGGACACTTCTCCAGTCGATGGCCACCTCACCGCGGCAGAGACTCACGTGTTTGTCGCCAATGTCAGCCGAAACGTGGGACCACGTGCGTGCGCCCTGGGCATGATTGGAGCTATGGACACCAACGACGACGGACGTATCAACTGGGTTGAGTGGTTCCGTGGTCTGGGCATTCGAATGCCTCCGATCGGACCACCGCAGGAGACTGTGGAAGATGTGCCATCAGCCGGAGGTGAGTTGTTTATAGACTATGCTCGCTGTAGCAGTTTGACTCTGAATTGCGGTGTGGGTACTGACAATTTCTTGTGCAGCCAAACCATCACAACTACTGTCCACTTTTGGATACTTTCGCTAACTACCACGCTACATGCTGTACTACATGCATACCCATCAGCAAAATAAACACACTTATGCAACATTGAAGCTGCTCGAAGGGCAGTGAAGTGGACTGCGTGAGCTGTAGGATGTGTGGTTTTTTCTCATCCCCATTCACATCCCCAACCTCTGGTTCAGTAAGCTCACCAATGGCCTGGACGACCGATTTCAACACAGGTATATTTCTGTACTGTTTAGACGCCGGTGACGATTCCAACGGCACATGTGTGTACTGGCGTGGATATTGCTGTTCCACGAAGTGGTTCTGCTCAACCAGGGACGGCCAGAAAGCCTGGCAGATGCAGAACCCACCAATATCGTGCCCTATACCTATTGGGGGCAAGTGCCAGGATGCTCCCAAGCCAGGCACGGGAATATGCCAGTACTGGCCTCTCTCGGGACAGTGCGGTTTTGAAATGCCAGAGATGAATGGTAATTCTATGCGTGTGTCCTGGGGTTTGTAACCACTGCGTCCATCCCCTTTGCCTCTTGTTATGTGTGCCGCACAAGGTGATAATGACACCGGCGGCTGTGTGTCCTGGCTGGGCTACTGCTGCTCCACACACTGGTACTGCGGCACACCCGGCGAGCAAAGAGTATGGATACAGTCGCACCCGCCACCACCATGCCCGCCACCACCGCCTCCGGGCTGTGACCCCGCACCTCGACCCGGCACCGGGATTTGCCAGTACTGGCCCCTGGCCGGCCAGTGTGGTTTTGCAATGCCAGAGATTGCTGGTAATTCTATGCGTGTGTCCTGGGGTTTGTAACCACTGCATCCATCCTCTTTGCCTCTTGTTGTGTGTGCCGCACAAGGTGATAATGACACCGGCGGCTGTGTGTCCTGGCTGGGCTACTGCTGCTCCAGGGACTGGTACTGTGGCACACCCGGAGAGCAAAGAGTATGGATACAGTCACACCCGCCACCGCCATGTCCACCACCACCGCCTCCGGCGGTCTGCCACCTCCCACCTCGACCCGGCACCGGGATTTGCCAGTACTGGCCCCTGGCCGGCCAGTGTGGTTTTGCAATGCCAGAGATTGCTGGTAATTACACACTATTGGGCAAGACTCGGCGATCCATACGAGCATGCCCCCCGACTATCCCGAATTATCCTAAAATACAGTGAAACCTGCATAAGAAGGACGCTGATTTGACAAGCTGCTATTTTAGAAGAACTAGTGTTCATAACTCTTTTAGATAAAGAAAGCACTATGTGTTGACAGTGTACAAATATGGATAAGAAGAACTCCCGTTTTGTGAACATTTACTATCGGTCCCTAGGTGTTCATCCTAAAGAGGTTTGACTGTAGTCTGGTGTTGGACGTGAAACTCACTTCTGTATCTCAGTATCCATCAAAAATGGTCTTCAGATCATTTCAGATCGATATCACCTAACTCAAGGTGTGGGCTGGCTGTTTGATGGTTTTTGTTCCGACTTTGAAGGGTTTCTAGCACACGCGGGGCACTCGTAGTGGTCAAGCATATCTTGTGAGGATGATGATGATTCTATATTGTCATGTACTGAGCAAAAATCAGTTCCAAAAAAATAGAGCTATTTAAATATGTTCACAAAGTCACGATACCCAAACAAAATGATTTAATACCAAATGGGATACTAGTGATAGGGAGACTCGACTTGCAATAGGCAGAAAACGATGTGACGGTTTTGGCAAGCATCCTAGCTGCATGCCATGCTATCAAGATCAGGGCCAGGGCATTCCCAAAACACGAAATTTCAGAAGATGAATGCCGTTTGCTAGGAGTTGATAATGTAAGATTGTTTGTGATATACATATCTACATACATCTAGGACATTGTAGTTTTCCACTGTCTTTTGACCCTTCACAGAAGAATCCACGTGCAATGATGAATCAAGAACCGTATACCAGACCCACCTTCTGGAATACATGACAGCAAGACGCACTGAAGCTGGCCATACTGAACCTCTTCCAGAAAGTGATGAACCCAGAGATCCCACAGCTGAACCACGTCTCAAGACACCAGCCAAACAAACCATCTACTGGATGTTTGATGAGCTGGATGTAGCTCCAATGGACAGGAAGCTAAGCCGTGCTGAAGTTGGAGTATTCATGAACGATACAGTGCGCAATGTTCATCCTCGTGCCTGTGCAGAAAGTCAGTGGAACTATTGTGATTACAATGATGATGGTTCTATCAGTTTGTCGGAATGGTGCTGGTGTACTGGTCTCGATCCAAGTAAGTTTTCAGAGATTTGTTCATTGCCTTTGATTTGCATTTGGCATGTTTCTGGTGTTGCAACTGGTTATACGTTGACACTGACTGACATATCTCTTCTAATATTCTCCATTCTTGTGCCAATTTTTGTTTTCAGCTTGCCCAGCTGACAAGCGTCAGTTCTTCCAACACAAGATGCTTCAGTTCATCAAGAAGAAGAGATCGCAAGCAAATGTAACTCCTGAACCAGAGACAACATCAGATAGTAGTGAGCGTGATCCAGCAGTTGAACCCCGTCTGAATACACCAGCCAAAGTAGCCATCTACTGGCAGTTTGATGAACTAGATGTATCTCCTATGGACAGACAACTGAGTGAGAATGAGATATCATCATTCATGAGTGAAGTTGTTCGTGAAGTGGATCCTCGTGCATGTGCAGAGACACTGCAGGAGCACTGTGATTATAACAAGGATGGAATGATTTCTCTGTCAGAATGGTGCTGGTGCTCTGGACTTGACAATGGTAAGATTGATCCAGCAGGAAATGTGGCTGAGCGTTTTCTTCATTGTGTGGTTTGACGTGTTGTGGTTGCGTCACATTTCCTTTCAAGTGTGTCCATCGGAAGACATCATGCATGTAATGCTGCCATATGAACTTTCATTCAAAATTATTGACATTCCTTCTAATTTCTTTGTGACAGCTTTTTTTCTGCAGAAAACTGCAAACTAAGCATGCGTGTTTTTGTAGCAAAATATGTGGTTTGCATTTGCTGCCATCATTTCTTAGATATGACAGTGTATTTGTAACACTGGCATGAGTGCTTGCCTTCTCTGCCATCTAATATGCTATTCTTCTGTATTTTTACCTTCTTATCTGCAGAATGCAGCCCAGAAAAGGAGAGACACTTCCAAGCCAACCTCCTTCAGTTCATGTCTTTAAAGCGTCAAGAATCAGGTCATGTTGAGCCATCGCCAGAATCAGAAAGTAATCCAGACCCCACAGCTGAACCACGTCTCAAGACACCAGCCAAGATCACAATCTACTGGATGTTTGATGAGCTGGATGTAGCTCCAATGAACAGGAAGCTAAGTCGTGCCGAAGCAGGTTCATTCTTTTCTGAAGTAGATCGTGAAGTTGGTCCGCGTGCTTGTGCCCAGGATCACTGGAGTCGGTGTGATTACAACAATGATGGATCCATTAGTCTATCAGAGTGGTGCTGGTGTACTGGACTAGATCCAAGTAAGTCTTCGTTCGAATTTTGTTTTCAGAGTAATGGCATTGTTCTCCAATACAGTCGACCTGCTCTTATAACGATATTTCCGTCAGACCAAGAAATATTGTTGTAAGGGTAATATTGTTATAGGGGTAACTGGTTCATTTTATTTCATACACATACATGAACGTCATAATGCTTGGATTTTGTTCATTTTTCACACTCTTCAGAGCATAAAAACTGACGTACATACACATTATGTACACAGCAAGGTACCCACTGGTGCCCCCATTGCATTTCGTCATGTCCCAGCGACTTATCAAGTGAAGCTTGCAAAGCTTGCCCTGCCTGGATTGTGGGCTCGAGATATTCCCTGCTAGATATTGTTATAAAATGGAAAATGTCGATTGGTGAGCCCATTTTATATCGTTATAACGTTAGGCGTACTATCGTTAAAACAAACAATAAGAGGACAGAAAAGTATTTTAACTTTTTCACGCACTAAAAAATAGCAATGAGCAAATCTGGATCAGTATTGGTTTATATACCCACAAACTTGCAAAGTGTACATGACTGCATCATCGAGTCATGGGGCGAATCTAAAAGTGCGAATGACAGCAGTGGTGAATGGTGACAACCGCTGGAGCTGGTTGTCTCTCACTTAATTAGGTGATGGCTGTGGATGGTTTGAAGTTCCGAAGGTAGTACTTATTCTCGTGGCGACACTTTGACACAAGCTCACTACTCTTGTTGAGAGAGAGAGGTGCTTGTGTGCTTGCGCGACTGCCAATTTTTCCGCCAGGCACAGGTTGCACCTTTTGCTTTTGTTGCTGTAGGCCACTGCTCTGCTGTGCACCGCCCATTGAATGCTGCATGCCTTCCCTTCATCCTTCTTGGCCCAGACGTACTGCAATAGGCGGGTGTCCTTCTCGTGTTGTCTGTGGCGGAATGATGATTGGTGGTTATAGTAGCGTTGTTTGAATGGTGTTGCTGTTAATCCAGTATACTCCTTCTTGTCCATACCTGCGGTGACTCTAGCCTTATACACAATACTCTCCGTTAGACACGCTCCGTCCAGTGGACATGAGTCTTTCGCCCGACAGTTACATGTCCTGGTGTTGCTGTCACCTCCGTTGGCTTGTTTCTTGGGTCGTAGAATCGTGTTATTGTGTTGTTTGATGATCATGGCCATATTCTACATGCAACTGTAGCTAACTTTTACCGAGTTCCGGTTGGACGATTTTATTGAGGCTTGAGCCTTTGGGGAAGTGTTTGGCCACTAGCTGGAGGAAGCGATGTCCGACGTCGGTGGCGTTATAGCAATATTGTTGTAGAGGTGAGACATTGTATACACAAGTCAATGGAATGATTTGGTTTGGCAGAAAAATATCGTTAAAAGGGTAATATCGTTATGAGGGTAGGTCGACTGTAGTTCATACTCACTGGACCTCCAAAGCGAGTATGTATGTGTGCTGTAGAATGGCACTCGTGGAGATCTTCGAGAATGGATCCATGTTAGAAAAAAACTTGAACTTCCCAACATGTAGGATTTACTTGTTGATGTACTTGGAGAATGAAGGAATTATACGCACAGGTATTGTTATTCACATCGATAAAGCTGCCACGGATGCATGGATGCCCGGATGCAACAAATGGGATCTTCGGTCTCTGACCACTTTGGTGGGTCTGATCTACTCACCTCCCACCGCTTTAGGAGCTGCATCTGCGCCTTGATCCTTGGGGGTTGTGGCGGTCCTACGGATGCAGAAAAGTCGGCCTCTAGCCAAGTCTCACGCGAACCGTGAACTTATTAACCCTTTGAGACCCCACTGAAAGTACGACAATTTACGCACCTTCAAATAACATGTACTTTCGCTCGTATCTCTACCAAACATTCACCGGATTTTACAAACTAACCACCGTTGAAAAGGTATTTCCCAGATGGAGAGATTAGCACCACACTCAAGCCAGCTACCTGCACAGCCTCTGCTCTGCGTGGCCTATAATGCCGCCCAAAACAGCAGCCGTGCGCAAACAGCTTCAGCAAAGTTCAAACAGCCGCCATTCCATTCTCCATCATCACATCGACTTCAAACAAACTACAGCGGAAAGCTCGTTTGAAGCGCAAAATTTCGGTGTGCAGCATGCTTGAGTATGACGTACCATTCCGGGGAAATCCTCTGAAAATTTGAAATTTTCGTTCTGAGTGCATTTATCAGTTTGTCTCCATGGCAGCATCGTAACTCCTAGAGGTTTCGGATAACTTCGACATGATAGCCAAGGTTCTTCTCGAAACTGAGATCACGGCTTTGTTTATGAAAATGGTGAAGGAACACCAGAGATATGTTTTTAGTGTCACTGTATACCAAACGATCGAATTCGATCGTTGGGGTCTCAAAGAGTTATAGGCTGCCAATTGGCATGTGCCAAATGAGACATTTCAGGTTTTTCCATCTTCGGTGACTCAGCCGTGGCCATACTACCAGGTTGAAGAGCTTCACAATGGGGCGGTGTAATTGAATACGCCACCGGCCTGTCAGATACACGAAAAATACTAGCATGACTGGCAACAGAATAAGCAGCATTTGGCTGGATTTCTAGTTGCTGTCCTTTGATCCTATTCCTGGCGTTTCCCTTCATTAAATACTGTAAATATACAAGATTTCGGCGCTGCAAAATTTCGGCACTTTACGATTTTTGACATTTCGGCGGCGATTTATTTTCGGCGTGGGGTAGAGGGCATAGTATAGTGCGACAGATGCTGTGAAAAATTTCATCGGCGTTTTAATTTAGGCGTTTTGGGTCGGTGCCGAATATAGCCGAAATTAAATAGCTGCCGAAAATTTGTATATTTACAGTAGTCCGGTTTTTATAGGGAGGGGTTTCCGTTTTCATGTCGGAATGAGGCCAAGCCTTCTGGGTGTTTTGACAAACCTTTCTGGGTGATGTAATGTTAGAGCGATAAATCATACTTCCTCCGTTAACAAAAACTTCGTGATGGATTTTTGAGGGACTCCTTTGCACACAAACTGCCGTGAAATGAGTCGCGATCACTTTCTCGGCCTTCTCTTGCATGCCATGAAAAAGGTACGATGCAAGGAAAGCGACCTTTCACAACAAGCCGAGCGGAATCGATGGTTGCGTTGTGGCAACATAGGTGATGACAGTCATGGCGAGCGAAACCGAAATACCACTTCTCCGAGGGGATAATGCGCTGCTTGGCCTCTCTACTAATCTAGCACTGACTTAGAGAGTTATAGAGAGCGATGGAACGGAGCAGCGATCCTACACAATGAGCGAGTGAACAAGGAGCTGCTTCAATCGCACGGCGCAATGAAATAATTCTGAATTCAAGTTCTTGTTCAACCTGTGCAAAGCCCAGATGCGAATGTTGATGACCATGCATTCTTTCAGAAGTCTGCAACCCGGCGCGAGTCTCATGGCTCAAGAAAGTCGACTGGATTTGCTAGCCACTGCCGTTCAGTGCTGGCAGGGGTATCCATCAGAGAAAATGGAATCAGTTTGGCTATGCCTTTAGTCCTCGTTTCGCGGATTTCTGGAGAGCGAAGATGAACCAGGGAGTCGTAAAATATTTGTACGACTCCCTGGTGGAAACGAGTTATCGCCACCGTGGCGGATCACGCAGCTTGAAAGCCAACTACTTACTTGAACAACGGCGACATCAAGATCAGCGGAGTGTGATCAAAGAAGGCGAGGCAAGGCTGAAACGAGCTGAACAACGACTCGAGAGAGATGACAACTCGTGTGCAGCAGCTAGCAGATGACGACAACGACGCAGGGTCAAAAATGAGTCCAGCGAAAGCGACGCAAACTGAAGTCTCTGCTTATATCGCCAACAGTTTCTCTTGTAAATACGCTGTACATAGGCTGAACTGCCTTCGTCCAGTGATTTGCAGTTGACACAAACTGTTCTTGACCTGTTCTAAGCGTTTTCATATCCATCAAAATCCATCACGAAGTTTTTGTTAACGGAGGAAGTAAACTCTGGCTATGCATTCTTTACTCCCTTTTCTGTTTCTTTCCAGCCTGTCCAGCTGACAAGAGGACATTCTACCAACATAATCTCCTGAACTACATGACAATGAAGCGTACTGAAGCTGGCCATACTGAGCCTCTTCCAGAAAGTGATGAACCCAGAGATCCCACAGCTGAACCACGTCTCAAGACACCAGCCAAACAAACCATCTACTGGATGTTTGATGAACTGGATGTAGCTCCAATGGACAGGAAGCTAAGCCGTGCTGAAGTTGGAGTATTCATGAATAATACTGTTCGCAATGTTCATCCTCGTGCCTGTGCAGAAAGTCAGTGGAACTATTGTGATTATAATGATGATGGTTCTATCAGTTTGTCGGAATGGTGCTGGTGTACTGGTCTTGATCCAAGTAAGTTTTCAGAGATTCGTTCATTTACCATGGATTTGTGTTCTGAAGTTGTGTTGCTTTGTGGCTACTCAGTATATGATACATGTACAGTGCTGGGCAGAGAAATCCAACCTTATGAATAAAGCAGCGTGGTGTTTGAGTGCACAGAACAGTATTTGTAGTGCTAGGGCTGTACAGCCCCGGCGCTAGTTTATTCTTGAGGCTGGGTTTCTTTGTCCAGTACTGTACGCCAAAACTCTCAGTCCCGCAAACCTACCAACATTCTTCCTGGTGTGCGCATTTGTGTGTTCAGCTTGCCCAGCTGACAAGCGTCAGTTCTTCCAACACAAGATGCTTCAGTTCATCAAGAAGAAGAGATCGGAAGCAAATGTAACTCCTGAACCAGAGACAACATCAGATAGTAGTGAGCGTGATCCAGCAGTTGAGCCCCGTTTGAATACACCAGCCAAAGTAGCCATCTACTGGCAGTTTGATGAACTAGATGTAGCCCCTATGGACAGACAACTGAGTGAGAATGAGATATCATCATTCAGGAGTGAAGTTGTTCGTGAAGTGGATCCTCGTGCATGTGCAGAGACACTGCAGGAGTACTGTGATTATAATAAGGATGGAATGATTTCTCTGTCGGAATGGTGCTGGTGCTCTGGACTTGACAATGGTAAGATTTATCCAGCAGGAAATGTGGCCAAGCATGATCTCATTGTGTGGTTGGACGTATTGCAGCTGAGTCACAGTTCCCTTCAAATCGTGTTCATTGGACGACATTAGGCATGTAATGCTGCCATATGAACTTGTTTCCAAAATTATTGATATACACTGCTGCTCCATGAAATCCAATCTCGTGAGTCAAGTTAGTGCCTTGTACCAGTTCACATCCCAGTGTTTGCAGGTCTAGGGCCGCACAATACTAGTACAGAGTGTGGCATTGCCTTACTTGATCAGATTTCATTGAGTAGCACGATACCTTCTAGTTCCTTCGTGGTAGCTTTTTATTTCTCTACTTCACCAAACTGCAACCTAAGCGTGTATGCCGCACGCTTCGATTGCATTTTTGTATCAACTTATATTCGCTATATTCATTACTTAGAATGAGCGTTAGCATGCTAACGCGAGTTAGCAGCAGCCCAGCGAGCTGGCCCAACCTGCACGCATGCGCGAGTCACGTGGGCACGCGCCCTTCAAAATCCTGTACAATGTCTCTTTCATGTCATTGCTGTTTGGACTTTCGAGCGTGCAACTTGCGGAACAGGTGTTCCCAAAACAATTTCCTTCCCACCCTCCCACCCACTAGCTCAACTCATGTTTCTGGCGCACACATGATGGTATCTGTATAGTCCATGAGAATATATGCTCTCAACTGGTTATGCATCTCTATATATCTAGCATTTGGTGGCTCTATTCAGAGTCATTGCCGGCTCCATGCGGAGGCATTGGCGGCTCCATGCAGAGTCATTCGGCGGCTCCATGCGGAGTAATTGGCGGCTCCATGCGGAGTAATTCGGCGGCTCCATGCGGAGTCATTCGGCGGCTCCATGCGGAGTCAATTGCCGGCTCCATGCGGAGTCAATTGCCGGCTCCATGCGGAGTCATTCGCCGGCTCCATGCGGAGTCATTTGCCGGCTCCATGCGGAGTCATTCGCCTGCTCCATGCGGAGTCATTTGCCGGCTCCATGCGGAGTCATTTGCCGGCTCCATGCGGAGTCATTTGCCGGCTCCATGCGGAGTCATTTGCCGGCTCCATGCGGAGTCATTCGCCTGCTCCAAGCGGAGTCATTTGCTGGCTCAGCTGCGAGCCATTATACCAGTTGCTCGAATCGGCACTCCCAGCTTAATGCAAAACTCGGTTGCTCTGTTGTGAGGTGGGGGGATGCTAATGTGTGTTAGCAGCACTTGCATGAATGTTCAGCTTTTCTGTCATCTAGTAGGCTTTTCTTCTGTATTTTTACCTTCTTATCTGCAGAATGCAGCCCAGAAAAGGAAAGACACTTCCAAGCCAACCTCGTTCAGTTCATGTCTTTGAAGCGTCAAGAATCAGGTCATGTTGAGCCATCACCTGAACCGGAAAGCACTCCAGACCCCACAGCTGAACCACGTCTCAAGACACCAGCCAAGATCACAATCTACTGGATGTTTGATGAGCTGGATGTAGCTCCAATGAACAGGAAGCTAAGTCGTGCCGAAGCAGGTTCATTCTTTTCTGAAGTAGATCGTGAAGTTGGTCCGCGTGCTTGTGCCCAGGATCACTGGAGTCGGTGTGATTACAACAATGATGGATCCATTAGTCTATCAGAGTGGTGCTGGTGTACTGGACTAGATCCAAGTAAGTCTTCGTTTGGATTGTATGTTTTCCTTTCTCACATTTCAGAATGGTGTCATTGTTCTCCAGTTATAACTTTAGGGGTGAAAAGGGTGATCCCGGTACCTGGGTACCCATCTGTTTAGCTGCTGATCAGTTAGCAGTCGAGTACCCGTTAAGGAGGCTCCCACCTAAAGAAGTAAAAATAAAAGGTCCATGGACACCCTGTTTTTTATGCATAGAATGGTGGAGTGATGTCTCTTCTCAAATTTGGTATAGTTTTTAGGTAGGGTCACCAGGCATATAAGAGGTATTCTGGTGTATTTAGTTAGTGTACAATTTCTTGATTTTCGGCAAAAAAATGGTAAATGTTTTTGGTTTTTGACCCAAAGAAGCCTCCTGGAAGGAGGATACTAAGCATTTTCTTCATCATATGTTTAAGAACCACATTTGGAGGTATCTTGGCTACACAAGATAGACTGTGTCTTGGTTTTGCTCTTGGCGAGCCACTTTTTCGAAATTACGGGTACCGAAATTTCCATCGGGTGCTGAATTGTGAAATGGTTCAGCCTGCAACATTTTGTCCATGGACATATTGATTTTTGTGGCTTTCTGTGATCCTTGAGCCCCAAGGAAACCGCTAATGGACAGTTTTGATGGTGTCACCAGGCACTTTAGGCCCCTACCAAACAATATAGGTATCAAAATATGGTATTTTTAGGCCAATTCTGAAAATAGCATTTTTAGAAAATCTGACCATTCTTGCCTTCTTGACTAAATATCACTACCAATGACATGGTAGTATGGTAATATTATTTTAGAAGAAGTTATTTTCATGCTGCAACCTCCTTTGGACATACCAGACAGTCTGTGCTTGGAAAGGTACATGTATCATTACATGTATGTCATGTAGCCTTCAGTCCTAGCACATTGATATACGAGTAGTGTACATGTGCATGTAAGGCAGCGAGGTTTCATAACAACCTCGACCATGAAACTGGCACATGAATAATGTGAAAGCAGGCATTCAAAATCAGGCACACTAAACACTCACACGCGTGCGTGCGCATGCACATAAACACCCACCCACACGCACGCACTCTCGTGCACGCATCATTGTAACACTACTAGTCCATAGTAGGACTTAGTGTAAATAAAAGCATGAAGACCAGCCACTGCACTGGGCATGCATTTGCTGGTTGTCACTTGCGTTGATAGCAGCAGACTCCAGAAAAACATCGCATGAAGGGCAATATGCATCTACACACGCTGGCGTCCACACATACGATATACATGTAGTGTACTGTCATGCTCTCTCGGCAATTCTTTTTGTGTCTCAAATACGGTTCACAAATGCACATTCACATGCAACTCCTGTACTGTAAAGCCAGCGTTTTCCTTACACCATCAGTGCAGTACAGTGGTTGACACGAACCTCATTCCTACAGGGACAGTAGCCCAAGTTCAGCAGCTCTGAGATGCGTCGTCCACTGAGCTCAGGATACTCTAGGATCCACAGAAAGTTTCAAACGGTACTCGTGCGACTGGAGCTGCAAGTGGGTCCACTTACCAGCGAGTGGGCAGCCACTTCACGCTCCACAGGTAGTCCATGCTAAATTCCAGTACCAGTACTAGTATCACTACGTTCGACATCGATGTCTTCACTGACTTCAGCCTGCTTCTCTCACCCTTCTTCGTCAGTAATATAATTATTTGTTCTTCGTGGCCACATCGTACCGCTTCAACAAAGTTTTCACAGAAAAATCAAGCAGCGTAGGAACTGCCTTTGTTTTGCATTACCCATGGCCAGTGATTCTTTCCAGCGTAGAAACAGCCACGGCTACAGAAACACTGCAACGAGTAGAACTACATCCTGGAACAACTGCGGGCACAGAGAAATCAAAAAACTTTTTTCTGAACAACACTCAACATGTTCACGAGGCTCTCCTTGACTATACATTAGATAGTGTGTCTGGACACGGACTATTGGATGCATTGTTCTGTGCATGTATGGTACTTTAGGTAACTGCAGGCTAGACGAGCCATACCGATTCTATGTGCATGCCCTACAGCATTATGGCGCTTTGCTGGTTTGTATTCATCCATTTTCACGGTACTTAGACATTTGAGGTAGACGTGTAGGCGCCTTTCCATAGATCATGTCAATAGACTAGTAGTGGGCACGCCAGACACTTTGTGGCATCGCCGGTGTTTCAGTATTGTCAGTTTGCACCTATGTGGTCGCAGTTCTATCGCGACAAGCTATGCATTTGCCTCTAGGCAATTCACCTTTCCTTAGCTACGCTGCAGTTGTGCTGCGATATTCATCTATAGCATAATATTGGTCGCTTGGACTCAGTTACACAAGCCAGAAGTCAGAATACGTTTAGAGAGTTAGAGTCCAAGTGAGACGAAGAGCGTCTGTCGATTACACTTTGCTTTTACTCACTAATAGCACGTTTGCGTTTTGGTTATAACGAAGAACCCAGTGTGTAGTTACGATCCATCACAGTTTTCAATGTTTATGGACTAGCGTGGTGTAGTCCTGCGGAACATTAATGGTAGCAGAGGATGGTTGATCGCGTTTCGTAGAAGTTGATTACAGAGAGAACTGTAGTCATGAGCACGTCCGATACCGAAAATCGGAGCACTGCAGGCATGGAGGATGCGGAGCAGGAGGTGGCATCGCAAGCGTCTGGTACGTCACTTTCGGATAGTGAACCAGAGGCGGTCGCCCTGGACTCAGGCAAACTCAGAGCGCTGAAAGTGCAAGTGAAGTCGGACTTCACCAACGCGAGAAGGACCCTGATCGTCGATCTCCGTCGGGTCAGTTCCGGTGAGTTGTCATTTGATCAGGTAGCAAGCTCACCCGTGTTGACTGAGTGTTACGAACGAGCTGCATCCGTAATTGCCGAGCTCGTTAGTGTTTACACCACGGAGGATAACAATAGTCAGGCAGAGAAGATGTTGAGAGAACTTGAGAAGTTGCAAGAAGAATATGCAGAGGCATCGGCCATGATTGTTGAGTATGGCAGAGGCGCAGTAGAAGACCCTGTCCCTAGATCTAGGACGCTGTATGCAGCACCTCACGATAGTTCGCATGACGAAAGGTCAATTCAGTTTCAAGATAGTAGATACGACGCACGCACACGTGGGGCTAGCCCGTATTTACCGTTACAGAGACGATCGCTGAACTCGCGTCAGCTTTCGCAGAGCCTGAGTGATTTATCCATTCAGGGACCCCGAGATGCCGTGAACGTAGCTGCCGCCATTCACGAGGAGCACCACGCACCAGTTCAGGGATGGCCGCAAGCTAGTGATGAAAGGCGAACGCCAACCGGCCTGAGCGCGGATGGGGGAGATCAAACGAAAGAAATCCAAATCTCCTCAGAGCACGAACAGCAGTCTCAGAGAGAAGTCCCGCAGGTCACGCAGACAGCAGTGGCAGCTCCGCCACCCGCCACGAGTTCGTGTGTCGTACCGCAAACCTCGTCAGTTGCAGGACTCGTGGTGGCGCCGACCGCCTCAAGTGCAACATCCGCTACGAAGACGCAAGCTCCGCGCCAACCACGCGGTGCAGCAGAAGTCACAACACGTGCGACCGCGAGCACTTCGTATAGTGCACAATCTAGCAGTGCAAGTCGGCCTGCCGCGGGCAGGCAGCATCAGGCAAGTCAGGGCATCGCAGCCCACGCATCGCAGGCATCGAAAGTGAGGTCGACGCATTCACAGCCTGCCACTCGGCAGCACTTGACCAGTGCAAGTGCATTTTCTATGCCAAGGATCTACCCTACCCCTAGTGCGAATCCTGCATCTGCTAGTGCAAGCTACATATACAGCAGTAGTAGTTATGGTGCTAACAGCTACAGTGCCATGCCAAGTATGCAATTCAGTAGTCCCAACCAGTATGGAACACAGCAACCTATGTGGACAGGCAACAACATCACGCAGCCTAGCTATGCAACCTATAGCAACGTCCCACAAATGGTCGCACAGACACCAAGCATGACAACTCAGCATGGTCTAGCCTTACCTGCTGCAGAGTCCACCACCATGCCACAACCGCAGAGTGCACTGACGGCACCTCACCAACCGGAACCATGGCGTCAGCTGAAGCAGATCGGCATTCCGACATTCAACGGCGACAAAAGAAAATTCGAGTCTTGGCGTGCGGCGTTCATGGCATGCATAGACGCATGTCCGGCAGCACCAGAGTACAAGCTACTGCAACTCAGGCAGTACCTAGTCGGCGACCCACTGGACTCCATCGATAGCTTAGGCTATTCCCCTGCTGCGTACGAGGCCGCCAAAGCGCTACTGGTCAGGAAGTATGGCGGAGAACGCAGGCGTGTCGCGATCCACGTAGAAGAAATCGAGCAGTTCGGTAAGGTTGGCTACAACAGAGCGTCCGAGTTCGAGAAATTCACGGAGCTCCTCGAGGTAGTAGTCATCAACCTGAAAGACAGCGGCCGGGCCGCAGAACTGGAGGCTGGTACGTTCTACCAGAAGCTCCTCCGTAAGTTCGACGAACGTGTGCTTGCACAGTACCATCGATGGCGGTATGATCGGCAAGTAGAAGAGTCCGTCGAAGCCCTGCTCGAATGGGCACGAGTAGAATCAGAGCTAATGATGATCTCGGCAGAAACGGTGAGCGGCGTAGCAGTAAAAACCACGCCCCAACAGCAGCAACCACCCCGAGATAACCGGTTCCAGAGGCGTAGTGCTCCGCCTAGTCGCAACCACGCATATCATGCTCAACAGAAGAGCGACGTCAACTGTGCAGTATGCAAAGGCGCACATCCCCTGTGGAAGTGTGCGGCATTTAAGGTCATGTCGGTCAATCAGCGTTGGCGGCTCGCCAAGCAGAGCAACGCGTGCTTCCGGTGCTTGGGCAGTGGCCATGCTGGCAAGGACTGCCCCCGTGATCGTGAGTGCCCGGTTAGTGGATGCATCAAACATCACCACCCGCTGCTCCATGGCAGCAATGTTACCGGCGGCGCACAGCCAACTCCGGAAGCTGAGAA